AAAAATTAACTCAAAATGTATCTTATGTTTAAATGTAAAACTTTAGGAAAAAAAAAAAACAGAAGAAAATCTTTAAGACCAAAGCCTTGGTCATGAGTTCTTAGATATGACACCAAAAGCATGATCCATGAAAAAAAAAAAAAAAAAAGTCGATATACTGGACTATGTCAAAATTAAAAATTTTTGCTCTGTAAAACACCCTACAGATGGGAGAAAATATTTACAAGCCATATATCTGACAAAGGACTAGTATCTAGAATAGATAAAGAACTTTTAAAATTCAACAATAAAATCTGAAAAATTAGAAAATGGGCAAAAGACATGAATAGGCATTTCATTGAAGAGGATAAAGAGATGGCAAATAAACACATGAAAAAATATCCAACATCACTAATTGCTGGGGAAACATACGGTAAGACCATGATGATATCTTACTATATACCTATTAGAACAGCTAAAATTTAAAAAATAATAATAATGACAATACCAAATGTCAGGAAGGATATGGAGAAACTGGATTTCTCATACATTGTTGGTGAGAAAGTAAATGATAAAGTCACTCTGGAAAAGTTTGGCAGTTTCCTTAAAAGCAAAATACACCCTTAACATATGATCCAGCATTTATATTCCTGGGTATTTAACCCAGAGCAATGAAAATTTACATCTAGATAAAAGGCCACTTTATTTGTAATGGCCCCAAACTGGAAACAACAAAAATGTTTCCTATTAGGTAAATAGTTAAACTGTGGTACTTCCATCTGTACCATGGAATACTGCTCAGCAATAAAAAGAAACAAAACATTGAACATAAATTTGGATGGATCTCAAGGACATTAGGTAGAATAAGAAAAGCCCATCTTAATAGATAACTTATTGTATGATTCCATTTATATAACATTCCCCAAATAAAAAAAGGATAGAGATGGAAAACAAGTTAGTGGTTGCCAGTGTTTGTGATCAGAGGGAGGGGAGAATAGGTGTGAACATAAAGGAACACAGCAGAAATCTTTAGAGTGATGGAGCAGTTCTACATTTTGATTGTAGTGTGGATTTTGCAAATTAGACACGTGATTAATGGCATAGATGTGTGGGATTTTAAGGAACCCTGAATAGCCTAAATGATCTTTAAAAAGAATAGAGTTGGGGCGCCTGGGTGGCTCAGTCAGTTGAGTGTCCAACTTCGGCTCAGGTCGTGATCTCACAGTCTGTGAGTTTGAGCCCCGCGTCGGGCTCTGTGCCGACAGCTCAGAGCCTGGAGCCTGTTTCGGATTCTGTGTCTCCCTCTCTCTCTGACCCTCCCGCGTTCATGCTCTGTCTCTCTCCGTCTCAAAAAAGTAAATAAAGGTTAAAAAAAATTTAAAAAGAATAGAGTTGGAGGAATCTCCCTTCTTGATTTCAAAATTTACTACAAATCTACAGTAATCCAGTGTGGCACTGTGATAAAGACAGATAGACCAATGCCATAGAATAGAGAACCCAGAAATAACTCCTCACATTTATGGTCAAATGATTTTTGACTGTTCATTGAGAAAAGAACAGTCTTTTCCACAAATGGTGGTGGGGAAACTGGATAGCCATGTATAAAACAATAAAGCTGGACTCTTTACATTTAACTCAAAATGGATCAAAGTCCTAACATAAGACCTAAAGCTAGGGACACCTAGGTAGCTCAGTTGGTTAAGCATCAACTCTTGATTTTGGCTCAAGTCACGATCCCAGGGATATGGGATCAAGCCCCGTGTTGGTCTCTGTGCTGAGCATGGAGCCTGCTTCGGATTCTCTCTCCTGTCTCTCCCCCCTCTCCATCTGCTCCTCTCCCTCGCTCGTGTGCTCTCTCTTTCTCTAAAATAAAAAATAAAAGACCTAAAACTATAAAACTCTTAGATGGAAACATAGGACAAAAGCTTTGGATGTTGGGTTTGGTAATGATTTCTTGGATATCACACCAAAAGCACAGGCAACAAAAGAAAAAATACATAAACTAGACTTTATCAAAATTAAAAACTTTTGTGTATCAAAGCACATTATTAAGAAAATGAAAAAGACAACCCACAGAATGGCAGAAAATATTTGCATATCATAGCTAAGGGATTAATATCTAGAAATATATAGAACTCCTAAAGACAGCAACAACGACAAAAAACAAACAACCCATTTGGCAAATGGGCAAAGGACCTGAATAGGCATTTTTCCAAAGAAGATATAAAAATGTCCAAAAAGCAGTGAAAAGATGCTCAACAGCACTAATCGCTAAGGAGATGCAAATCAAAACCACAATGAGATACCACACACACACACACACACACACACACACTCCTTAAACCTAGAGCATCATCTTCCTGTGCCTGGCACAGAGCTTTCTGGAAGCCAAGCACCTCTAGAAAGGGAGGCAGCAGCATGGGGAAGATGACATGGGTTGGGGGGCTAGCTCTGAAAGCTCCAGTTAGGCAGTGATGGGGAATCACTGGAGTGTGAGAGGCATGGCAGGGCGGGG